AAGACTTAGTCCATTTTTCATATTGGTTGGAAATAAGGGTTTTCATGGGTTGGGTTGATCAGTTTGAAGGCATTTGAACAACCCAACCCAATGCTTACGGTTTGAAAAATCTCAACCCAACCCAACCAAACCCAAACCAAAGTGCAACCCGACCCACTCCAAACTGTACAAGTTGGTCGAGATAGTCATACTTTGGTACGTCAAAATATTTCTCTTAACCTTGAATATGTTGTTTTTTCTAGTTTACTCATAATTTATTTTTCATCATCAACCATTTGGTACAACTTATCCATACTTCTTAAATTTTAAGTATATTTGATATGCATTGATTATTCAAGGCATAAAGCGCGTATTTTTTTACTTTTAGGTAGTTTATTTTCTTTTATCCCAACCTTGAGTCCTTTTTATTACATTATTTTCCATTTGTTTATACTTGGAGCTAAATTAAGTGATTAGTTTTTCTTTGCACCATTAGAGTAGCTAAATCTTAAACTTGAAAGTCTATTGTTTTATGCTGCAGCATTCCACCAACATTGATCTGTAAGAAGCGGCTTTTTGGAAGGACTTTATGAATTCAGCTGCTGCTTGAAGTCCCTAGAGCCTTAGGAAAGGAACATGTGAAAGCAGTGACCTTGAGAAGTGGGAAGGAATTGACAGAGGCAGTGCAAAAAGACTGTGAACCAATTTTGTCAAAAACTAATGCTACAACATTAGCCTCTGTTATTGAAAAACCACCGGAACCATTAGAAAACCAATCATCTAAGGTCACCAATATTGTCCCCCCAAGATCAGACTACCCTTTACTGTTTCTAGAAGAGGCCACTAGGAAAAAGTCATTAGAAAATGAAGTTAGAGCATACCCGAAGACCAATGTTGTAACCTCATCCATACCACAAGAGAGTAAGACCACCTAAGGCATAAAGGACTCATCTTGCTCAACACATTCAAACAATGTTGTCATAAAACCAGTTCCTCCATATGTGCCCTTTTTCCAAAGGTTAAGGAATCAGAAGGAAGAACTGCAATTTAAGAAATTTTTGGATGTGTTTAAAGCATTGCATATCAACATACCCCAATCCTTCGAATTCATCATCGAAATTAGTTTTTAAAGACTGGACTTTTGAAGAACTTTACAAAGCTTTCTTTGTGGGAATGATATCTGGTAATGCCACTATTACTTGTTACAAGACAATATTAGTTCAAGGTGTGTGTTTGCACTGAGTTTTATTTTTGTGTTGAAATCTAAGGTTGCATAAACCGAACAGGCACAAGTCTATTATGTGTCTCAAAACTGACCGTGGTGAAGAATATAACTCAACTACATTCTAAGAATTTTGTAGTGCACATGGAATCAAGAGTCAACTAACAATGACATACTCTTCTCAATAAAATGGAGTGCCAAAGAGGAAGAATTGCATGCTTAGGAACCTCATACGTAGCATGCTAGCAGCAAATAATACCCTAAAGAAACATTGGCCAGCAGTAGTGCCATGGTCCATTCATCTTCTTAACAGGAGTCTAACACTTGCAGTAAAAGACCTAACACTAGAAGAAGCTTGGAGTGGCAGGAAGCCTGAAGTACACTATCTTAGAGTTTTCATATGCTCACGTACCAATGTAGAAAAGAACCAAACTTGATGATAAGAGTGTGAAATATGCCATGTTTGGAGTCGGTGAGGAATCCAAAGCCTACGATTATATGATCGAGTTGACAAGTGAATCATAATTAGTAGAGATGTTCTATTTGAAAAGAATAAAGAATGGGTTTGGAATGAAAATGAAACCAGCAGAAGTACCACTCTATATTGGGAAAAAAGTGATTAGTTAGACACTCGAAATGAAGTTGTTGCTGAACAAAGACAAGAACCCGACAACAGGACACTATGTTCTATTGATTCACCTCAAGATGAAGTTGTTGCTAGTCAAATAGATCATCCCGCCAACAACACACTTAAACTGCTGACCTATCTCAAGAAGAACAAGAAAGACATCGAAGACCTCCACAATGGATAAGGATTATGTTAGTGGAAAAGAATTGACAAAAGAAGACATCAATCACTTGCTTCAAGTATAAGTTAAATGGCATTGTTCAATGCAGTTGTCGATCCTACCAACTTCGAGGAAGCCTGCAAATAAGTAAAGTGGAGTATTGCTATAGATCAAGAGATGAAGGCAATATATAAGAATGACACATAGGAATTATGTAGCCTACTAAGAGGAGTCAAGGAAATTGGAGTGGAGTGTCTATACAAGACCAAGCTTAACGAAAATGAGGATATTGATAAGTATAAAGCTCATCTTGTATCAAAGGGTTACACACAATAATCCAACATCGATTATGCCAAGGTTTTTGCTCCTATAGCAAGATGGGACACCATCGGGTCCATACTTGCTCTAGTTGCCCAATGAAGTTACAAGGTCTTCCAACTTGATGTTAAATATGCATTCTTGTATGGAGAAATTATGGAGACTGTGTACATTGAGCAACCTAGGGTTATGAGAAGCCCGACCAAAAGGATAAGGTCTATTGGCTAAAGAAGGCATTATACGAACTTAAGCACACCGCGCACGAGTTCAGGAAATGCCCCATGAGCATACCATGTTCTTGAAATCTAACCAAGAAGGTATTGTACTCATTGTGTCACTTTATGCTGATGATCTTATTGTGATAGGAAGTCAGACCACTACGATTGAGGAATTGAAACAATCCATGAAGTTTGAATTGACATGTCAGACCTAGGAGAAATGTGCTACTTCCTCGGGGTTGAAGTTACTCAAAGAGAGCATGAAATATTTATGTGTCAAAGAAAAGATACTGGTGAGATACTAGAAAAGGTTTAAACTGGGGCCGTGCAATTCAGTCCGTAATCTAATCGTTCCATGAGTCAAGTTGATGAAAGAAGACGAAAGAAGGAAGATAGATGCTAACACCTACAAACAAGCAAATGGTTGGATGCTTGATGTACTTAGTAACAACACAACCTGATTTAACATATGTCATCAGTCTACTAAGCAAATTCATGGATAATCCTTTTGAAGTTCATGCGTAGGCTGTCAAGAGAGTGTTTCAATACGTTAAAGGTACCATGGAGTATAGGATGTGGTACAAGAAGGGTTGAAACATGAAGCTCATTGCCTTCTCTAACTCGGACTATGCAATAGATACTGAGACTCGAAGAAGCACTTCTAGATATGTGATGCTGTTATCCGATGCTACAATCTCGTGGTCGTCCAAGAAGTAACCCGTGGTTACACTATCTATAACTGAGGTTGAGTTTGTATCATCAGTAGGTTGTGTTTGCCAAGTGATTTAGGAGGTGTTTGGTTGGATATATTAAAAGGTAATCAATGGGAATGATACTCACTGTATCAGTTTGGTTCAAAAAGGGAATGCAAATGGAATGATTTATGATGCTTGGTTGCAAGTAATCTAATCAATCATTATAATAGAAAGGGGTAAAAACCATTCCACTCCAAATTGGGTGGAATGAACGACGATCCTCTAACCATCTTCGCTCAACATGTCACAAAATCGATCGATCTTCTGACCATCTTCACTCAATACGTCGACAAAATCAATCCTCTAACCATCTTAGTTTCCTCTAATCAATCGATCATCTGATCATCTTCTGTTCAATACTCTATTTTACATACAGGCATAGATCTTGTTCATCATCTTCGATTTTGTTTGTTTCTGGGTTTGTGTTCCTCATCTTCCATTTTGTTCGATTTTGGGTTTGCGTTTATCATCTTCGAATGTGTTCGGGTTTGTGCTCATCATCTTCGATTTTACACACGGGTATCAATCAGATTGTTTTTGTTCATCATCTTCGATTGTGTTCAATTTTGGGTTTGTTGATTTTCTTAAGTTCGATTTTGCTTTCACAATAATCGATTTTCTTCAGTTTTGGGTTTGTTGATTTTCTTYAGTTCGAATGTGTTCGATTTTACACACAGTTTGATTTTACTAACCMTAGAAATCCTATCTCGTGGGTTTAGAGATGAAATGGGGAAGATGGTGGTTTAGAGATGTTGTGTAAGGATTTTTTCTTGGAAATGAGGAAGCTTTTTTTTAACATTATTAATGGAAGGAAATCATCAATAATATAATAGAATGGAACAAAAATAATGATTCCCATTCTACTTTATTATCATTACCAATCCCATTTTCATTCCTTGAAATGAACCAAACACCCCCTTAGTTAGGCAGAATACTTGAACACATTGGAGTGCCACAAGAAGGAGCCACTACAATATCTTGTGACAATATGTCAAGCAAAAAGCTGTCTAAAAAGCCAATGCTTCATAAGAGAAGCAATCACATTGATGTTCGATTTCACTTTCTACAGGATCTTGTCAATGATGGTACAGTTGATCTAATTCACTACAGAACAGAAGATCAAATTGCAGACATTCTAATGAAACCCCTGAAAGCTTGAGACATATGGAGAGGCTTCGAAATATGCTTGGGAGTAAGGTCTATGCTAGACTTAAACTAAAAAGAGGAAGAAGTTTTAGTTTAGGGGAAGATGTGTTGCATTTGCTCATGAGATGCACGTGGTATGCCCTTTGGGATGCATGTTTGACGGAGTAATCTGTTTACCAAGTCTAGGTTCTAATAAAGTAGGATTTTTGTTAATCTCTTTTGCTTCCTCCTTTTTAGCTTAGTTTGTTGGTTTCCGCTGTATTGTAAAAATTATGAAAACCTACTCTTTTTATAAATAAAATCACGCTCTATAGTTTGAATATCTTCCCGCTTCTAGCATCCGAGTCGTATAAGAAATAACAATGATAAGAGGATAATGAGGAAAAAAAATGGTATAATTGGTTGAATGATTATTTGAAAGTAAATCATTTTAAAACTTAAAAATAGGAAATGTTTTTGTAAATAGATGGGAGATAGTATTGATTTATTTAGGAAATAATATAATATTGGATAATGATTAAAGTAAATCTATAAATAAATAGGGAAGAGGCGGCACAAGAAGGAAGAAATCTATAAACACAAAATCCCTCCTCCATCGCAATTCGCAAGGGCATAGAAGAAGAAATCACACACAGATTCACTCAGATCTCTTCTTTACATACTTGCTACGCATACGAATCTCCATTTTTTCAAGTAGGGGATATCAAACATGGCGACGGCATCAGGTTCCTACTTGCTCCTCAAATTTGTTTGTTTGTTTGTTTGTCTTTCCATGGATCTCCAAAAAATTTATGTTCTTTATGGGTTTTTTCTTTTCTGAGTTGATATTATGCTACAGTTAAGGCCCTCACAAAGTTTGATTTCTATACTGATCACTTTAGGGTTTCGTCATTTGAACCTTGAAACCCTCCACTGGCTTCGATGAAAATACCAACTTTTGTTCAACCTTCTTTTGATTGCTATTGAGTTGAAGTTCCGTGCCAATAAGAAATCCCTATTGTTTGTTCCATTTAATACAATAGAAAAAGACAAGTCCGTTGATTTGTGCAAGGATCAGGAAAAGGGTTCAAATCTATTGCTTGAATGTGTCGGAACAGAAACTAAAACTAGTGGGCATCTGCAGGCAACAACATAATCGAGACACAAATTGTTACTGATTTATGAAATGATCTATAACACTTCGTGTTATTGTGGTTCTTCTAAGATGTCTGAGTTTGCTTTTATTCTCAAGTCATAACATGTAAAATCTTCTTTTAAGTTAACGTTTGGGAAAAATTTCTGTTACACAATAAATACTTATCTTCGATCCTCCTGTAGAGTTAAAGCTAATTATTTTACCAATTAGGAATTCCTTCAATTTTGAGTAAACCCTATATAATGTGAGATCAGTATGTTGCAATTTGATTTGGAAGTATTTTGAATCCCAACATATTTGCGATATTATTTCGACTTGCTATATGCTGATGTAAGTTGATCAACTCAAGGAGTACAATTCAGTTATATTGAAGAGAATACTATGTTCTGCTGTAGGATTTGCCGCCAAGATATCATGATACAGGCTTTTAATTACCCTGTTATATTTTTGGATTAGGTCAGCTTAGGGAAATTGTAATATCTTCCCTTTTCCATTACATTGATGTTGTATATTATATTTGCTTTTATATCAGTGGCATTCAAATCCCGAGAGGACCACCGGAAGCAGATGGAACTAGAAGAAGCACGCAAAGCTGGACTTGCACCTGCTGAGGTTGATGAAGATGGAAAAGAAATCAATCCCCATATTCCTCAGTATATGTCATCTGCTCCTTGGTATCTTAATGCAGAAAGACCGGTACGCTTTTTGTTCTTTTGTTGCTTGGTACACTTTTTGTTCTTTTTTATAGGTCATGTAACTGAAACTTGTGTTTCTGTTCTATTAGAGTTTGAAACATCAAAGGAATTGGAAATCTGATCCAAATTATACAAAATCATGGTACGACAGGGGCGCAAAAATATACCAGGCTGACAAGTACAGGAAAGGTGCATGTGAAAAGTAAGGAAAATGTCTTCTACTTCATTAATTCGTTACTGCATTCTGTGTTCCGATGGTTGTTTTGTATCTTTTGCTGGTCTTTTTCTTATTTTGATATATAATTGTTACGTTGTTAAGCTTCGTTTGTTGTGGCGGCAGTACTTTCTCTTTCACAAAATATTTATTGGTTGTAGGTTTGTTTATAAAATACAAGTTGATAACCTTTATATATATGGCTTACTATGACAGTTGTGGAGCCATGACACACACAACCAAGACATGCATGGAGAGGCCTAGAAAGTTGGGGGCAAAGTGGACGAGCAAAAATATAGCAGCCGATGAGAAAATAGAGACTTTTGAGCTTGATTATGATGGAAAAAGGGACCGGTGGAATGGATATGATGCTGCGTCATATGCTCATGTTATTGAAAGATATGAAGCTAGGGATGAAGCTCGGAAGAAATTCTTGAAGGACCAGCAGCTAAAAAAGCTAGAGGAGAAGAATAATAGTGAAAATGTTGAAGTTAGTGATGATGAGGACAATGAAGATGCTTTAAAGGTGGATGAAGCCAAGGTTGATGAAAGTAAACAGATGGACTTTGCTAAGGTTGAGAAACGTGTGCGTACTACTGGTGGTGGGAGCACAGGGACTGTTAGGAATCTGCGTATTCGAGAAGATACAGCAAAGTATTTGCTTAATCTTGATGTCAATTCTGCCCATTATGATCCTAAAACACGGTCCATGCGTGAGGATCCTCTTCCAGATATGGATCCAAATGAAAAGTTCTATGCTGTGAGTGGCGTTAATCGTTTCATGTTGGATTTATTTCTATTAATTCAATTGTATTCTGATTATTATTTTTCCTATTTTTCATTATAGGGTGATAATCAGAACAGAGTAAGTGGTCAAGCTTTRGAGTTCAAGCAACTGAATATACATGCTTGGGAAGCATTTGAGAAGGGAAATGATGTGCATATGCAAGCAGCTCCATCTCAAGCTGAATTATTGTACAAGAATTTTAAGGTTAACAAAGAGAAACTGAAGTCCAAAGTGAAGGARACGATTGTGGAGAAGTATGGCAATGCAGCTACTGCAGAAGTGCTTCCGCGAGAGCTGTTACTTGGACAAAGTGAGAAGGAAGTCGAGTATGACCGTGCTGGTAGGATCATTAAGGGCCAGGAAATTGCCATTCCCAAGAGCAAATATGAAGAAGATGTTTACATCAATAACCATACGAGTGTTTGGGGTTCATGGTGGAAGGATCATCAGTGGGGCTATAAGTGTTGCAAGCAGTTTGTTAGGAACAGTTACTGTACCGGTGCTGCCGGAATAGAAGCTGCCGAAGCTGCAGCGGATCTTATGAAGGCCAACATTGCTCGTAAAGAGGCCTCTGAAGATGTGAATGCCCCTACCGAGGAGAAGCAGCTTGCTACCTGGGGAACCGACATACCTGATGATTTGGTTTTGGACCAAGGGAAACTTGCTGAATCTCTTAAGAAGGTGAGTTATTTTATCTTATTTGTTATCTTAGACATGTAAAGCTGTTTATTTATGACGTTTAAACGTGTAGCAAGTAAGTTGTTGTTAATGTTACTGAATTGCTGCTATTGATGTGGATAGGAGGACCAGAGGAGGAGAGAAGAAAAAGACGAAAGGAAACGTAAATACAATGTCAAGTGGAATGATGAGGTATGTATAATTTTCATTATTCATATGTGTGTGTGTGTATATATATGTGTGTGTGTGTGTATATGTATGTGTATATGTGTGTGTATATATATATATATATATATATATATATATAGGCGGAGGATCGTGTGAGAAGTAGGGTTAAGGTGAGAAGTGTAAGAAGAGATGTAGACTCTTGATCACCTTTAATTTCAAACCTACCCATGAATCGCGCATGATACGGAGATTAATCCGGTGCGTCTTGGTGTATTTCATCCTAATGTATTTCATCCCTTCTTATGCTTCTCACTGGAACCCAACCCTAAATATACATATCTTTTTGTATTGATGTATTTGAATTGGTATATATCACAGAAAGTAGAGATGGGTTGGGTTAGAGTTAAGTTTAGTAGGGATAGAGAGGGAGGGGTATGGAAAGGAAGTGAATGATTTTGTGTTTGCAGGTGACGGCTGAAGACATGGAAGCATACAGGATGAAAAAGGTCCATCATGATGATCCAATGAAGGACTTTCTGTGAAGTAAGTTGCAAGCAGAATATAGGATGCATCTTTGTGAATCAAGTTTCTCAAACTTATAAGTCATCATATTACTATCTTGTTTTTGTTGTAATCCTTTGTTAGAACTTGAAAGTTGATTATGTGATCATGCATTTGTTGAATTATCTCATGATGGTAAAGCTTTTGTTATTGGTCATGTATATAGACTTCTAATATTTTTGATGTGTGAAAAAGTAGGTAGAAATTGTTTTGGTTTTTTTAGTATTTCAAATTTAGGTTCAACCCAATTCCATCCCCATTTAATTGGTGGTGCCTATCGTTCATTATCACTTACAGGATACTTGATCACATTCCTCAAGAATAAATTGATGTCATGTCATGTGTGTGCGTGCCGTGTTGTATAAAACCGTGGGTATGTGGCTTAACTTGACTAATCTCTTGATGTTAACAACCGGGAAAAGTCTAATGACCTTGGAGGGACTCGAACCGGTGACGAATGGGGGAGCCAAACCAATGCCAATAATGATACTCCCACCACCTTTGAATTGGGCAAACATGTACTCAAGTCCGTGAAATGTTTTCTCAAGGACCCTTGGGCATTGGCAATGGATCAATCTTGTCTTATTGCCGTTTAACCAAGCAAGTCCATACAAATGTCTCTACGTTATCGGGTAGGCATGACCATAATAGGAGCTTTCCACTAGCGGTAATATCCTTTTGTTCCTTGGATGATTTGAGTAACCAACTTGGAGGCCGTTTACTGAACATTTACTGGGTAAGTGCTAATCAAGTAAGTATGTCAGGGACCAAGAATCTTACCCGGTAATAGGTATAACATGGAACAAGGATCTTACCTGGTAAGTGAAGGAGAAGACTTTGTTGGTAAGCGCTAATCAGGTTAGAGGCACTTGCCAACAATACCATTTGTTGGTCAAGAATGTTATCAGACAAGGTAAGTGAGACGGTGACTGGTAAGACGGGCCCTTAGGCACATGGAATCGGTCACCTTTAGAGAATAGCAACTACATCTTCTCCAAGGAAAAGGATGAGATTTTTATGCCTTTGATTTAGTGTAGTGTAGTCTAGGATTGAGAATTGGAATCAACTTATTTTGATAAACTTACTGTTATGACATGTATGTTTCTTCCCTAGCTGATTGCTAACAAGTCCTACCATTGAGGGCTTAGCTTAGCTTCTCCTGTATCTGGAAGTAATAGAGAACCAAGAAAGGTATGCCTCCTTCCATTAACTTACTGCATTCATGGCCTATTGGGTGCTCCTCTTGTATGAGCACACTGCCCTACCTAGCTTACTGTGTATCTTCAATGGGTTTGATTAGGGATGGCAATGGGGCGGGGACCTCAATACCCGTCCCCGTCCCCGATCCCCCGTATGTGTCCCCGTCCCCGTCCCC